TAGATAGATAGATAGATAGATAGATAGATAGATAGATAGATGGATGGATACTCACTTAGGTCTGAGCATTGCACCACATTGAGTTGACAATGGCAACCAAAGGGGCATAAAGACACATCCGGCGGCAGCTCCTCCACAGCTGAACCCTCTTCATCTCTCATCATTACCGTCGTCAGATCCCCCACATCTCCATCCATAGCAAAGTCCCAGAATCCTCTCTGCTCAAAGGGCAGAGCCAATGAGGGAGCAGTCAGGCTGCAGACATTGAGCAGCAGAAGCAGGAAAGAGCGGCAGGAGAACATCGCTGAGATACAGAGACTCACACACACAGACCTGAGTGAGGAAGAGACAAAAAGAGATTAATCATTGTTTATTTCATTTGACATAACTGTTTTTATATGTAACTGTGTATATCCTGTTCTGAGTGTGACACACACAGAGCCTTTAGTTTGTTTGGAGCTGAATGTGTTAATTACGCAAAGGACAATGTTAATAAGACTCTATGTCCTTTCTTCAAGTTCAGCCCACAACCCATTTCCTCAGTTCTGTTTATAATAATTATAACAGATTTCACAAAGTACATCAAGGAACAGGATGGAACTAGGGTGTTATTTGGGGGTTTGGGAGAATATTGTAACATTGCCATCTGAATATGAATACATCATTCAGCACTGGACATGCCCTCCCTGAGAAACACTAAAAGCTTTAACATGGACATGTAAACATTACTCAAAAGTACTAAAAGTACTATTATTCAAACGCACATAAAGAAGTTTGTTTGATGTTAAAAACATCTTTTGGTATCATCTTCTGACATTTAAAAAAAATTAAGCGAAGGGGAAACTAAAGAGACAAGCGGTGAGTCTGTGTCTGTAGGACAGGTCTGGTCAGACGGTGTGTGGTGGTGGAAAAACTCAAACTGGCCTTCTTAAAACATATCTTAAAACAAGCCATTCATTAGACAGGAAGGAGGTAGGAGGGGATATTTCTGACAGTCCCTGTTTTGTGTGTGACTAAAAGGGTGGGGAGCCACTCATGATGTAATTTCTCAATGTCTTCCAGCTGAGTCCTGTGACGTCACCAGACATTTTGGGGCTAAGATGTGGTTAAGGATCTGGGGTCCGCAGAACCCACCAGAGGACTACGCTGATACCCTAAACATGGCCCTGTAACCTAAACCGCAAACCCTGTTCAGCCACATACCCCCCACCTGTCAGTTTCTGACTTAACCTTGGCCCGTGTGTTGAAACTGATCTAACCGAGGCCTAAAATTGAAGCCAACACCTGTTCTAAACCCAAATCAACACCCTAAAGCCAACCTGCATCCTGAACTATAACCCTGAATCAATACCTCACACTGAATGTGATATCTCAAGCAACATAACATTACAATTATCCTTTAAATCCAACCAGCTGGGGAAAGCATTTCAGTAAATCTCACTGCCATCATAGATGATTGTCTTCACAAGTGAGTCACAACACTTTAATCCATAGTATTCCCTATACATGCTGGGAAGAAACACATGTGGATGAGTGAGAGGAGCCAGATGTCAGAGAATGTCATGTTTCCCAAGAGAGAAACTCAATGTCTTGCCGTCACAATTTACAGCCACATTCAAATATGTTCCCTCAACAACATTATAAGTCAGAAGTGAAGATTGAAAAGGTATTGAAAAGGTATGAAAAAAATCCCAGATACTCAATAAAACGGAAATAAACAGTTTCAATTACTGGATCAAATGGGAAAAAAACTACCCAGAAGAATATTTTTACACAAAAGTAGCTCATTTAAATTTCCTTAAACTTTGTCTTTTGTGTTTGTCCTCAACTTTAAGAGAAATACTAGATACAACTAAGACAGTAAGATTACAATATAATTATAATATATACAATATAATATATTATATATTTTCTATCCTATGAATCCAAGAAGACCTCCCATGAACTTTATGAAGTTAGATAATGTCTGCTGTAACAACACTACAGCAGGCATAATATATTATAATATAATATCATATAATATCATATAATATCATATAATGTATTTTTATCCTATGCATCCAAGAAGACCTCCCATGAACTTATTTTTTTGTTTATTTCTAAGTTAGATAATATCTGTTATAACATTTGGCATTCAAAGATGAACAATGAATTGCGGGACACCTATAGGTCAAAAAAACTAGCCTCAGTTCCTATTTATGCGTGGCAAACTCACAGTAAAGACTCCCATTAAGCTTAGAGGGATCCCACACAAACGTTGTTCATGTAAATGTGTCCGTTGAGTCCTTTGTGTCTCTATATAGTAATGAGCATGGATGCTTTTGCCGTTCCCCTTAGCTACTCCTCAATCATCTTCTGTGAACATTCACACTTGTTGTCTAGGTCTGAGGCAACAGAAAGATATTTGAAATGACTACAAACAGACATTTACAATAAAAATTTGTCATGGTGCCTGACAGTTCCCAGAGCTGACCATATGTCGCTGATCCAAACATTTGCTAAATATCAGTTCATCCAGGGTAGGCATTAAAGCCTAAAGTATCCAATGGAATCCCATTCTTCATCCTGACATGCCAACATCTATGTGTGTTCCTCTCATATCGTCTGCCCATCTTTCACTTTAAAGTCAAACACGTGGGAAAGCGACAGCCGTTTTTTATGCTGCTGACCTGGAATAAAAGCAAACAGGGAAGAAAATGTACCCATTTATAAATATAGCGGCTAAATTATACTGCGCTCCCCAAAAAAGGTTTGGTTTGGACTGGCCAGAGGAATGCGAGGAGAGGGCCGAGGCACAAATACACACAAGTCCTTGCATCCTGCTTGTCACGGAAGAGTTTGAAAACTATATGTGTTATTTATGAACACAAACATTATAATACGGGTAAGTATATGTGTCGTTTTTATGGGATAAAATACTGTTCCAAGCAGAAACTCTTTAATTAGAAGCTGCTCAACAAAACAAGGTGTCTTGAGTGGGATCTCAAAAGTTATGTTCGCACATCAGCAGAATACAGTTGTGCTGTAGTGCTAAATACAGCTATGCAGGCCGCCATACTGGGAATAATATTGTCACAAATGCGACAGAAGGTGTCTTAGCATCATTACAATCTAGTTGGGAAAACTTTGTCTATTTCATTTAGTTAAAATGTGTGCCAGTGTGTCAAAAATATATTCTAAGAATATTTAGCAAATGTTCCTATTAAGTTATAAAAAAGTTATTTCTAAATGTTTTCTTAGCATATAGAACATCCTGTTTTTTATATTTTAAAAACATTTTATGCAAAAATTAAGGAAGTATTCCATTTTATATTGTAAACATTATGGAACTCTAACTTTTGAATGTTCTCTGAGCATTCTGAAACAAGTAGTAACATTTAAAAAAATGCTAGGCGAATGTGCAACTTAAACGTTTCCGAAAAAAAAAAAACATTCCATGAATGATGCATAAATGACGTTTTTGTGCTAATGTTTTGAGAACATTATTAAAGACCTGATAACAATGACCTAACATTCTGTTAATGTTCCTGGAAGAATGTTTGTTCACAGCTTTAAAGGGGTCATATGATGCGATTTCAAGTTTTCTTTTTGAACATTAAAGCATGTCGACATATTCTGTTACACCAAATACACAAAATAATGATCTTTAAAAAAGCATCATATGACCCCTTTAAGAGAACCTTGCCTCAAAGTTAGCCAAAGTTCTGAGAATGTTACCTGTTAGCTGGGGATGTGATTCGTGAACATTAAAGGGGACATCGGATGCTCATTTTCCACAAGCTGTTATGATTCTTTAGGGTTTCCATGAAAAGTCTGTAACATACTTTGGTTAAAATTCCTCAAAGTTTGTGTAAAACAACACCCTTTTAACCTTGTCAAAAACAGCTATGTTCACAGTAAGCCGTTTCAGTGCATGTCCCTTAAAATGATAATGAGCTACTGCTCATAACAAACCGGCTGTCTTTTAAATTTATTAGCTTTTCTGAGCTGGCAGACACGCCATAACTAAATGCAAAAAAGCTAAAAAGAAAAAAAAGTGAAAATTTCATTTGATGTTCCCTTTAAGAACCACTTGTTTATAATGAGTACAAAACAACCTCAAACGTTGTTACTGATTAAACTGACTTCATCACTGAAGAGTCATTTTGATTCAAAGTCTGATTCAAAATGAACCAGAGCCATAACTGTGACTTATAATTTAGTGAGACTTACAAAAGATCTGAGTCAGACCTGTTAGTAAATATACTTGTGATCCCAAACAGTGACTGCATGAAAGCAGCCAATAAGCAAAAGCCACACACATCTGATGCCTTTGACAAAGAAAAACACAAACTTTAGCTGAAACAAAGATAATCTTATCCCACGGCCTTAGCCAAATACATCAGTGGACAACCCAAAGCTCACAGCACTTATCACTCCAGTCTAAAGACACAGTCCTCTTCAGAACGGTGACTTGAGGAATGGTATGGCCTAGACATAACAACTGCTTCTGCTGCTAATTACACAGTACATACTCCTCAACGTGGAACGCAGACAGCTATTTCTATCACTCAAAATGTCAGTCTTAAAGTCACATGAACATGGAAGAGAAATTAAGAGAGAGTGGAGGTAGAGCTGATGGCAGAAGCAAGGTGAAAGTGAAAGTGCTGTATTCTCTTAGCTAAGCCAAGTCAAGTCACCTTTATTTATATAGCGCTTTTAACAATACAGATTGTGTCAAAGCAGCTTTACAGTATTAAATAGGAAAATAGTGTGTCAATGCAAAAGGACAATAGTAAACACTCAATTTTCAGTTAAAGGCAGTTCATCATTGAATTCAGTGATGTCATCATCCAGCTCAGTTCAGTTTAAATAGTATCTGTGCAATCAAGTCAACGATATCGCTGGAAAATAAGTGTCCTCAACTAAGCAAGCTAGAGGCAACAGCAGCAAGGAACCAAAACTCCATCGGTGACAGAATGGAGGAAAAAACCTTGGGAGAAACCAGGCTCTGGAGTTGATTATACAATTCTGTGGAGATTAATCATGGCTTCTATGCAGTACCATTACAATCACGGATGGTTTGATTTTGTTTTGAGGAATGCAGAAACTTTGTGATGAGTAATAAATTATTTTTAATAACTGATAGTGTGATTATATATCTTTAAACACTGGAAAAATAATTCTTGATTTCTGTTGAGGTTACATTTTGTCTTCGTCTTCTTTTTGTCTAATAAACTTATGAAACAATGTTCTTTAATATTTAGATCTTGAACATCAATACATGTCTTTTCTCTTCATTAAAACAATTAATTTCTAAATCTCCACCTAGTCTGGTGTTTCTGAAAAAGACA